TAAGTGTGTATGAAATGTCTCTCCAGAAGTATACATATGTGCACGGTAATACAGCTATATACAGAAAAGGTTAAGTATAAACTTCAGAAAAGCTAGACCACATATCCAAATATTTATCCATCTGCTGGTAGTACTTCAATACAACCTGTCCAGATAATGAAAGCATCATTAGGTCCTCAATCCATTGCATTATAGGAGGTGGGCAGTTCTTTTCCAGTGCTCTAAAATCAGCCTTTTGACTGACAAAATGGTGTAAAAAAATCTCTTCAATTCCATACAATAACTAAATAATTTAGAAAAACATGTGCACCATGAAATGTTGAAAAGCATTATTTTACTAAGTTTAATCATACCGTTAACTCCACGCAAAAAGAAATAACCATTGGACTTTGCCAAAACATGTGAATAACAAAGCGTTATCACCTTCACCATTTAGCTGACTTAGTCAAGCCTTTATTTTAAAAATGTTGTGGCATCCAATAAACACAAAACAGATGTTTTGACTCTAAAAAATGAAGAGGAGGATTATATAAGCCACCTTGGGTTCCTCACAAGGGGGAAAAATCCAGGAAATAAGTGCAATATAATAATATAATAATGATAGCAAATAGTAGTAAGTAGTAGCGATGAAGCTTACTCAAAAAATGTCCACTGTGCAAATGGTATGATGGTTTTAGGAATGTATAAGCGTCCTGCTTGTATGCATTTTCAGTTATTGACTGTGGGTTTTCAGAACAGTACAAGAGCATGATCATTTTTTTCCCTGATTGTTAGGTGTCATCTTGTCTACTGAATGCGCTAAGTACTTTTTGGATGCAGTTGTTTACAGTGCTTGTTTACTTGAAGATGTTGAGGCTGACTGGGAAACTCTTAGTGATTGTGTTAGTATTATAAAAGAAGTCAAAAGAGAGCATCTAGAATAAGAACACTAGGAAAAACAACTTGCATTTTCCTCAGTATGGTTCTACTCGCTTCAGTTCATGAAAGATTTCTTAATGCCCACAGGACACTTCTTGCATGATACAATGCTGTATTTTGACATTTAAATAGCATTTGGAAATGCATTTTCATATGACAGTATTTGCAAATCACTTTTTTAAGAACTTTCAGTGTAGAAATGCCTCCATATGCTAGATGTTTATCTCACTATTTCGCTGAGGGGAGGGAAACAAAAACACAATTTAGTGGCTAGATTGTCAATACATTCTAAGCTATTGTGGGGAAAAGGGTTGCCAGAAAGCATTATATTATTAGGAATTAAATATGATTTACATAAAGGAAGATAAGCTAATATCATTAAAATATGGTTCCATTTCCTGAATTCAGATATATTTAAACTATGACCTTTCATATCAGTATACTTTCAGCTCCCTTTTGTTGCTTTGTACTTTCTCCCAGCCCTTTGAGGCCTAGTCAAGAAGAAAGAAACAAATCTATTGATTATATCAGCAAGAGGAAGGCAACAAGCAAAGACAAAACTAAAACCTCCTTCTCTTGTGACAAGCGCAGTGTCCCTTAGAGACAGAAATGTATCTTGCTGTTGCATTTGAGAATTCTAGTCTAGGACCTAGGACTTGCGTGTCCGTAATGTACAAGAATTCTAATGATCTTACTGCACTTAGACTTACATAAACATCTATTACATAATCTTAAGAAACATTTTGGGGGAATAAAAAACACCTTGTCCAAAATGTTTTTTATTAATCATTCTGGAAAAAAATGTTCCATAATCCACAGTTTTTCCATTTTCCATTTTTTCCAGAAAAAAACCAAAAGACTTCAGAAAAAAATGGCAAAATCCCTTTTTTTTCTGAATGTTTCTGAAGGTTTTTTCTGAGATTTTATATCTCTAAATAAACATAATGTTGACAACTATATTGATACAACTATATTGATAAGACAAGGACAGGATGTGCTCTGTTAGAAGAATACAGTAGTCAGGGAAGAAAGCTTTGCATATTAATTGATAGTAAAAATGAATGGTAGAAGGTAAATGAAGAGTTGGCAGGAGAAAGAATTCTCACATTTCGACATAAATTGACAAGATAAGACTTTGTCCAGAGGCTGAATAGCACAAATTGGATAATAGCCAAAGAGATTTTCTTGTGGTCTGTGCATCAAGAAGTGGGGTAGACAGTTTGTGGTCCTCCAGATCTTTTGCTCTGCAACCCCCATCAGCCCATGTGATAGGCTACAGATTTCCCATTGATGAAGTAAATGCTAAGTAATGTGAATAAATGTTCATTTTGATTTGTTCTAATGCATCCAGTTTTAAATGCAGTTTTTTAAAAAACAACTCTAATCCCACCCTTTCCTCTCAGAAGTAGCCTCAGAAGGGAACAGTATGAAATAACAAGACTTTAAGGCAGGGAAATACAAAGCTTGAAACTTTCCCAGCCATTTACTTCTGAGCTCCAAATCCTCCCAACAAGCCCTTCTCTGAACTATTGAATTCTGTCCATAATACGAAAGTGGCCTGGTTAGCAAATTACCCCTTCGGCTCCTATAACACTGTGCAGTGGGACCCCAGTCTTCTACAATCAGAGATAGGAGGTTATAGATAGAAAAGAATCCACATACCCCTGCCTCATGCACTTGTGAAAGCAGAAAAGGAATCTTTGGATCCAAGCCGGAGATACCACTGTGCTTTAGTACTGGAAACACTGTGACATATTCTGGTTTCTGCCTTCATAATCAAGTTCAAAAATTGTGCTTTTGCGACAAGACATTTAAAATATTTTTTGAAAAACTCAGTAGTAGAACAACATGGTATTTTCAGATTATTAAGAGAAAAAAATGCTTGTGGCATATTTTATTTTTCTTTAATCATACAGCCCCTATTAGCTATACTTTAATCATACAGCAGGAATATTAGCTTTTGTAATTATAAGTTAATATTTCCCATTAGTAGTAAAGAAGAACTGAATTAGTTACATTTCAAATGTAATTTTCAGCCTTTCTTTCAATACTTCATACCACCACTGATGTTTCAATGACTGTAGTGTTGTACCTCCAGTGATGTCTTCATTGGTCTATTTTAATTTGCTTTTTTTAAAGGGGCCAGACTGCAGTACTACACAGGAACACTGAGAAGCCCCACTGTGTTCACTGGAGTTTACTGTTAAATAAGTGGGTATAGGATTATACCTTAAATTAAACAAAATTGCTTCCCCTGAATGAGTATGAAGTGATTAAATACCACTTCACCTTTATTAGTTTTCCCTCTTAGCTCTTATTATCTAATCTTTTCTCTCTTTCCTTGTTTCCCATTCCCCAGTGTTTATTATTCCTGACTGCTGCATTATGTTACCTGTTTTATTATGTTACCTGACTTCCATGTTTATTCTTCTGTGGTTCTGTCAGTTTCATTTATTTATCTAGGTACTTAACAAACATACTGGTTCACATATCAGGACAACCTACGTTATTGGTTTGAATATGGGTTCAGTATGGATTGTCGCTGAATCATGGACTGTCATTACAAGCGTACCCTGTACTGTGGTTTCATATGTATTGTTAACCACAAAGTATCCAGCAAGAGACCAATTGTTTGTTGTCAGGTTGTGAACTCTTGGGTAGCCATACTGCAGGGTTTGCATAGAATGACAACCCACAATTCAACAACAACCTGCACTCAGTGCCTACTCTGAATTGTTGTAATGTGCGAACCAGGTCACTGTCTGAATTCCTTTCTGTAAATAAAATAATGCAGTGACATTTTTCACTTATGTATTTCTCATTTTTGCTTTTATCTTCTCTGCTTATACTTGTCCACATTTGCTAATTTGTAATCAAAACACTTGTGCAATATTCCAGTTTTATAAATGAGGAATTAAGGCACAGAAGTATTAAGCCAGAAGAAATCCATGGCACATTGTTCTGCTGAATGACCAAAGTCCTTGTCTGCTTACTTATTTTTATGAGGCAAACCACTGGTCTGGCTATCCTGTTACTCAGTCTGGAAAAATGAAGTTTAGTTTGAATTGATTGGAATCTTTTATACTGTCAAGATGTCCTGGATTTTGAAACTAAGCTGTCACAATTACTATGTTGATTTCATATTACCTTATTTGTTATCCAGCCCATTCCAGTTGGAACGTTCTCATTCTCTGCATACATCTAAGTATTTCACCTGGACTCATGGCACATCAGCCACACATAAAGCTTTAGCCTTGCTACTAATTAGTAGGTTTTATCAAAAGCAAATTCATAAAAATATAGATCATATGCTGTAATATTTAACTTTTTTCTATCAGTTTTAAATTTTCTTCCTAGCAATTTGAAAGTTTGATGAGCAGTATTTACAGAACCGGTATTTTTTCATTCTTCTACATAATATAGAATTATTTTGATGTAAGCAAGCAAAAGAACAAGGAGGAATGGTAATGAAAGCAAAATAAAAACTTGTCTTGGCTATTTAGTTGCTGTTGGTATGGCATTAAAATTTTCTGGCTCGGCAGCAAAATTATTTAATTGGGAACTAAGGACAGTGGCTAATACCCTATTCTCTTTTATCATGGGGCAGCTGCATATAATTCTGGCAGTTCTCACTGTTCATGTTATAAGGGTTAAAATTACATTTGAGTACCATATCTGTAAACTATATGCTTGATGCTCTTTAACTGTAGCTGATAGCACAATTTTGTATCACTGACCTGACAGAAAGACACAGACAATTTTCTGTCTTTATTTCAGCACTTCAAGCTTTGTGAAACTTATCCAGGTTCTCAGAGTATAACATGATATATTTACTGTTAAAAAACTTAAAAATTCAGCATGCATACTCTCAATACAATTCTGAAGTGCCATTAAAGAGAAGAATCCAGAAAACAAGTCATAATGTGATCCAGAAATAAGAATCTGTGTCCTTGTTCCCTAGAAGTGTGTCAGAAAGTCAAATTGATGTCTTGCATGCACTGCTAACTGATTGTGTAGAGATTTTTTTAAGTTCACTTTTTTCTTTATTCTTCTGTCTTTTTACCCATCTTCCCTCATTGTAGCAAATTAGACGCCCGGATGAAAGCAAAGGAGTTGCTAGTAGAGTTGGATCCCTCAAAGTAAATATGTTTCTAACTTTTATTTTGCAAGTTTTCTTCTATAGCCTACACTTTTGTTTTGGAGGGAGTGGGGAGGGAAAGCAAAGGGTGGGGCTTTTACATTACTCTCCATTTCATTGTTTTTATTTCAGTGTTTTTACCACTGTTGGATCACATTTTGTTTCTGTGCTACACAAGAGCCACCATAGTGCTGTTAGCTGAAGGCAAGTTGTGCAGTAACTCGATCTCAGTGTTACTATGTATTCAGAAAAGATCCATAGCTTTGTTGAGGTGCCTGTAATTCGGGAATCATTAACACATCCCTGATAGACGGCAATGTCACAGGAAATAATGTTCTTGCTACATAAATATCTACACCTTGATCTCCTACTCCTGTTAAACTTATTAATAGCTGTAAAGACATTTTATTTTCATTCCTTTTGATAGAATTTTATGGTTGCTAAAATGCAGGTATTTTAACATAGTTAATTGGTACTTGACTGAAATCCCAGTAAAACTTGTACTTTTTCTATTTCAAAGAGAATTAGTGTTATTTGTTGTTTCTTTGGGCAGAATCCAGAGTAGCGCTTATGCCCTTGCCAATTCTTTATATTCTACCAATTTCCTTTTGCAAGTATTATGCAAGGAGCAAGCAGGACCAACCACTTACACAAGGAAGATTTAGCGCTTCCTAGGAGAAACCCCAAAACAGCCTCCTTTCTTTGCACTGTGATGACCTCCCTCCTTCTAGAAGGTAGTATTTCTGTTTGGCTTGGGTTGCCCCAGAAGTGCTAAATCATTAGTGCACAAGTGGTGAGGGCTACTTATGCAAAACAATTGGAGAGGCAAAAGATAAGCTAAGGGGGTGTAGTGTTCTCAGTTTTCATTTCTTTCTTCAAAAATACCCAAAGGGCAAACAAATTGGGTAAATTTAGCATAAGTACATTTTACCAAAAGAGTTTAAATGGAGAATAGGGTGCCATTAAAATTAAACGTTGGCCCCTTTACTGGTTTCTTTAGTAATTTAAAAAATCGCTCATAGGTGTACTGTAGCAAAACCAGTCAGCTCTCCAAATGTAGTATGTAACATTAAGACAAGAGTTTACTCTATGTCTACACATGCAATCTTCTGAAAAATGCTAATAGGTTTGATAGATAGGAATCCACATTTATTAAAATCCTGGAAAAATGTGGCATGGTGTAGGCTACCCTGTCAACATTTATTTTATTTCCTGCGCCATTAGTCATAAGGCTCCCTAGGCAGATTTATTTAGCAGCAATTGTGGCCACTCATTTTAATATTTGCAGTATTTCACTGTTTCACTTTTTTTGCACCACATGAAGTACTAATTTTGATTTCATTTCATCTTCTGCACTCTTCTTGCCAATCTTCCCTTCTCAATTCTTAAGAAAAAATATTTTGTGTGTGTGTGTGTGTGTGTGCGTGTGTGGGTGTGAACTCTATTCCAGGACAAGTCATCATCTCTTTTTCCTTAATACTGCTTTATGCAGGCTCTCTCTGTGAAAAGGTTTTTTGCACTAAGCATAAATGGGAAAAGCAAATGTATAATGATACATCTCTTTTCCATATTCAATTCCATACAAATAAGGCCATGGAAAAAGGAAGAAAAGTTGCTGGTATGTTTATGCCAAAGATACTGAAAGACATCTATGACATTCCTCATTGTCTTTCTGTGAGGTGGTTTTCTTTTAGGTTAGAAATGTGATGCAGGTGAGGGATGTACTGTGTGTACATTGACATGTATTGTGAACCCAGCTTTCAAATTGTATTTCAGAAATAATGTATCCTTATCATAAACATGTATGCAATTTTTTAAAATGCATACTTCAATAAATCCAGCATTTTGGTTTGGAACACAATGACTTGGCTACTAAGATAAAGTGAACAGGAAGAAGTTCAAAGAAAGAACATATCTGATCACATCCTGCAGCCACATACTATATCTGAAGAATCAGGAACCCTCCTGAACAATATTATTATATTTTATTATTAATTTCATTTATGTACCACTCCATAACCAAAGCTCTCTGAGTGGCTTACAACACAGTATAGCATGGGATGTTGAAAGTGTATGTGAGAGAAGGAAATAGTTCAAAATGCACACTTGCAAAAGATGCCTCCTCCCAGTTTTAGATTGCTCTGCTCTCCTCCAGCAGTTCTTTGCACCCCATCCCTCTGATCATACAGACAAGGCTTTTTATGGGTGCAAATAACTGCAGGGGCAAGAAAGGTATGGTTAACTTTCCTTCTCTGAACTTCCTTTTGTTCACTTATATTTGGACTGAAACTATTTTTCCCTTTGAAGCATGTTTTAAAGTTGATGAATTGCAATGCAAATAGTTATTTAGCGAATTTCTCAAGACTTATTTATTTATTTATATCCTGCCCAACAGCCAAAGCTGTCTGGGAAGTTTACAACAGATAGTGATATCTCAGTTAGGATCACTATATGATTATTAAATTCTACAGTTTTGTTGTTAGGGTACATAATTTAAGCACTAGGCTAGAATGTAGTATTTCCATGCTTCTGTGTGTTTCCACAGAAAATTATCTAGATAAATGCCAAAGTGTTCAGATTGCTATAAATAACATTTAAAAATTAGGAAGCTTGGTAAAGTCAATTATCCATAAAGCACCTGAATTTACTCACTGGAATAATATTCAGATGATAAAAATAATTGGTGATTTAACCAAATAATGGGTTTTCTTTGTCAGTGTGGAGCATACCCTTGTGTTATAAAAATGTGAGCTGTATTACAAAGGCAGTGAGAACTGTATTACACTATTCTCTTTTTTAAAAAATGGAAACAAAGAACATGAAAATAGAATAGGTTGCTTTTTCAATTCATTTTCTGATGTTTACATATAGCTCCATCGAAAGCTAGAGGAGCTCAGAGATCACCTAGAAGGAAATGCCAAAGGATGCTCTCTCCGAGTAAATGTACGATTTCACTCGGTGATTTATTTTTTAAAAAACTTCCATTGGCTGGTAACACCAAATCTGTCCTCTTATCCCATTTCCTCTCTTTCTCTCCTTTTCCTTCTTCTTTTTATTTTTCTAGCTGGGGCTTCATTCTAATATCCATGAAATCTTTAAAAAAATTCAAACAAGTTTAATTTAAAAGGAATACCTAGTATGATTCAAGAATTGATTAATTTGAGCTACTTTATAGGCTCACCAAAGGTAACAAATTTTTTCTTGAAATCAAAGCATCATCTGAAGGTATCTCCTAATTAATAACTACTAGGCAATAAGAACTGAATACTGTATACGAATACTGCAGTCTTAGTATTTAGAGTTGTAGGCTCTCTCTCTTTGTTTCCTATTTCTTTGAGAGTCCCTTTCCTGACATATAATCTTGCTGCCAACCCATGTACCAGCTATTTCTCAAATGAACATCAACCATACAAGGACAAACTATGTGACAAATGTCACATCTAGTTTGGCACTGAGCATTACAAATAATACATGAAAAATGCCCCATCTTCTGAAAATAGAATTTGGACTGGACTAACCATTACCAGCATCTTTATATTTACTTCCAATTGCACACTTTCCCTTCTGTCTTCAAATGATATTCAGATGTCCTTGTTCATTCATTGTCTTCTATATTGTGTATGCATTTTTCATAGTGCCATAGCTTGGATACACTATCCAGAATGGCAGTGTTATTGAAAGGAAGCAATACAACGCTTAGGTAATTTGATATGCTTTGGGCACAGAAATCAATCTCCAAGGGGCAGATTAAAAAAAATAAAAAAATAAAAACCTATCTGTGTTGCTCTGTTTTCACCCAGTTTCAAAAGGTATGTGGCAATAGCAAGGAGTTTTTTGGTTTTTGTTTTAGTAATCTAATTTCAGTTGGTTTAGCAACAGTGTTATCTAGATTATCTGGATAGAACTGCATGAACACAGGGCTCTGATTCAGAAACACAGCTAGGAAACAACCTGTGGGGTTGGTATTCTTCCCATTTTAAACTCATTCCTTTTATGAAGGAAATGAAGTGCATTTCTTACTTCCATGCTCCAATGTTGTTCTTTAGCAATAACAATGAACTCAGGAAATGTGCATAGTAATCCTAGTTGGGCAGATGTTATTCTGACCCCATCCATTGTCCCGAGAGTATTATAAAGTTGTGGTATAAAAGAAATGCCATAATTATGTTTAACACAGCCAGTCATGCATTTTGATGAGACAAGTGGGGATCAAGACACTGAAAGTTGTTTTCCTCCACACTATAATATTAAAAATGACAGGTTGGCTTTGGGCCTGTCACTGAGCTTATAACCTACCTTACAGGGTTGTATAAGAAAAGGAGGATTATAAATAAGCTGCCTTAGGTTCCTTATAAGAGGAGAAAAGACAAGCTATAAATGCAATAACAAATCTATCAGCTGTAGTCAGCATCTCCAGTAGTTAGAGTTTACACCACAAATAATCTTGTGGTGTTTGTGGTCCATCTACCAGATTTCATACAGTGCTAACAAGAGATACTTTGCATATAAGGCAACACATATCTGAAAGGAAAAGAGGATAGATCAAACAATAGTATAACCATTTTAAGTAATCATAGAGGAGATTTCTTATATGGTTTTTGGAAAAGGATTTAACCCAGATTCACAAAGTAATACAGTGGGACAGATATTTTAACTTTTAGACGTATTGTGTAACAGCTGTGATTTAATGCTTCACCGGGTAAATGGAAAACCAAAATAATGGTACAATTCAATGCCTATTTAAGGTGGAACCTTTGCATTGTTTCAACATCCATATCTGTTGCAATAATTACTTGGATTTGCTGGAAATCAAAAGGAAGTTTTGGCTTTCATAAAATTTGTTAAAATTTTAAAGGTCTCCTTTCCAAATTTTTTCAAGTCAGTAAGTTAATATGATTTCTTTAAACAAAGAATCAGTACTACATTAGACCTACATTCTACTTGAAAGTTCTCTTCTATCATCTTTTGTTTATATGATTCCTATTCCTAGTTCTGCATAAA